TAGAGCATAAACAGTAGTGTATAGGATCTCCAGATGCATTTGAGATATCAAAAAAGTACTCCAGAGTGTTGTTCAGCATGGGGGTGAGTAGAAAATGAAGGCTAATCATGTTTTGGGTGTACTATTCCTTTAAGAGGTTGTGTCTTAGTTTAGCCCCAGAAGGACTGTTTGATGGTCCTACCTCCAGCGCAGACTTGGAGGATGTCTTTTCTCTCCTGCTCTACGGCGCTTGTCTGTCAGGCAACACGGATCCACCGCTGTAATCCTTCCATCTCCCAAAATTACCCTCCAGAAACGATGCAGGGCCAGCTGTAGCCTCTCCACACTCTGTCTCCCTGATAGACTTCTCCATTGTACCACTGTCCCCCCCTCCCATCCACCAGCAGCTTCTCCCCCATATTCAGAGTGGCCATCTGCCTGGCAGAGTTATCTCATACTGATGTCCTCCTACGACAGTTAGCCTCTATAAGTAGCCCAGGCCAACCATAGCCTCTCCTTGCTCTGACACCGTTTCTCCAGCTGGCTTTTTCAATCTACCACTGTGGTTTCGTAGCTCTAGAGGAGGACAGGGCTGGACGCCTCGTCTCGGTTCTCGTTCTCTCTGCCGGTGTTCTCGCACTGATACCTAGCTGTTCCCTATCTCCAGAACACTGTCTGTTAGAATCTGGTGAACCCAGGGATGCCAACCGCTTGTTTAGCTTTCAAAAGTTAAAAAAGAACCGCGTGTTGCTCAGTAGGATCCCAGTCCCTCATCTTTTCTGGGAAATTGTCTCTGGCCCTTCCCCAGCAAGTAAGCATTTAAAATATTTAGTTTGTGAGGGCTAGATTTGCCCACTACCTCTTGTTTTGTTTTCTACCCCTACAAGAGGAATTGGGACATCACTACCCTCACAGGAACATGGGTTATGGGGTAGATTGGGATTGGCCCCTATATAGACCAAGTACAAACAACATCATAGGTAGATTCAGCAGCAGTCTTCTACTGTTGCTTTGTTCTTGTTTCTGTTTGTAAAGAATTGGGATCTTCTTTTTCCACGATGCTCTAATAGGAGGTTCTGGGAAGGATTGACTAGAACTTAGAGTTTTAGATTGGTTTATTCCGTTATCTGTTAGTCTTCAATCCCACTGAGCTGTTTGCTTTATGACAAAGCACTGCAGGAATATCGAGCTTCAGTCAGTAGTCAGCGTCTGGCTTTCTGGTACTTCTTTGATTCTGCCAGCAGATGGCGCCACCTCTGTTTACGTTTGGAATTCTATTTAGGCTAAAAAACAACAACAATGAGGAGAGATTCCAGTCAATGAGTCGATGCAATCAGCTGGTTTTAGATAGAAAACTTTGAATCAATCTGACTGGATGATCTGGTGAACTGGAAAGTGACCTGAGATGACATGATGTGAATTGGAGCTATAGAAATAAACTGAATAGAATGATTGGTGTATATAACCTTATTCTATCAGGATCAAATGTTTTTCACTATTTTTTGTAAGGTGTGAAAACGTGACTGAGCTCCTTTAAAAGGTCAGTTTGCAGCTGTAGAAATTAATTTTTTTCTTTTATCATTTCACCTACAAAGAGTTCACTGTTTTATTAATATAAATAAATAAAATATATATACCTGATATACTGTATATATATATATAGTTTATTCTTCCTAATGCACCTTTTCCCTCCTTGTTTGCACCTTCTTTTATTACTATGCCAATATGTGACGAGTGAATTTCTCCGCTGTGAGATCAATAAAGCTTATCTAATCTAATCTATTTAAACTTAACTCCTAATTTTATGCTTTATTTTGATTCTCTTTAGGACTAAAAAACTGTTGGCAGGCCGGATTTGGCTCACAGATCTTGATTTTGACACATATGTTGTATATCAATAAAAAAAAAGACACTTGTGTCAGGATATTAGTATGAGAATGGAAGAAAAAAGGACAGAGAACAATGCTGCAAAGCTTCTGGTTTAGAGCAGCTAGGTTGAGGGTTCCACTCCCAGTAGAGTCTCCCTGGTACATGGTGGGCTGTATGTGAGTGTGTCTGGTTGCCCTGCAGTGACCCAGTGACCCCTCCAGGGTGTGTCCTGCCCTTTCACTCATAAACTGCAGGAGATAGGCACCTCTGAAGTGTCAGAGGATGGATGAAGGGCAGAAAACATTTCCTGGATTAATCAACACTAATCAACAATTGTTCATTTTCTTTTTTTATATATATTACTGTCGTTAAAATTCAGGCTGCAGTTCTTCCTGACTTTTTTCCAATCATATTTCAATAAGTTCTTCTTTTTTTGTCTGAATGAATCTCTAAGAACGAACCAATCTTAACTTTTCTGTTTCTCTGTTTTTTCCATATTTTGTCTCCTGATAATAAACCAGTTTAACCACTTTACAATGATTCATTCTGAACAACCATAAAACCATTTGAACCCATGAGCCGCCTGCTTTCTGATGTTGCTGTTTTTCTCTTCCTGTTCACCTGTTGTTTTTATTTAGGGACGCTGAGCCGGCGCAGGTGAGCGCGCGCCCCTGAAGCAGGTTTTTACGCACGGCTCAGCAGGTTTGCGCGCGGCCTTTGGCCTCTGCTCGTGTTCTTAGCGCGTGTTTTACAGCCGCAGCAGCAGTGAAACATTAGCCTGGACTCACCCTGATGTAGCAGCAGCAGATGAGCAGCAGCGGCAGCACGAAGCCCAGCATCAGGATGGACACCTTGTAGGGGCGCCGCGACGCCCCGGAGCCGATCTCCCAGCAGAATGTTTTGTTGGGGGCGCTGGGGTGGCTGGTGAGCACGTAGCTCTGAGCCACCGGCACCGAGCACAGCAGCGACATGCTCCAAATGACGCACAGCCCCACCAGCGCTTTCCTGCGGCTCCGGACGCACGCGGAGCTCTTGGAGCGCACCACGGCGATGTAACGGTCCACGGACATGGCCACGAGCGTCAGGATGCTGACCAGCATGCTGACCGTGGTGAAGAAGTGTCCGAACTTGCAGAGGAAGGCTCCGAATACCCACTCTGGTAAGGAGTAGATGGTCGCGTGGAGCGGGACGCAGAAGAGGAGGAAGAGCAGATCCGCCACGCTCAGGTTGACGATGAAGATGTTGGTGGGACTGAGCGCGCGCGCACCGCCGCTGGGCTTCACCCTGCCGATCACCAGCATCACCAGGGAGTTACCGAGCACTCCGATCACGAAGATCAGCCCGAACACCACCGGCACGATCACCACCTCCGCTCCGGGCTCCCCGGAGGTCTGGTTGCTCTCCTGGACCTCAGACCAGCGAGAGGACTCGTTTCCCGGATGCAGCATGCTGGAGCTCCGCGGGGCCAGCTGGGTGGGGGGGTCAGAGCAGGGGGGGGACCAGGTCCATGATCAGGATCCAACACGTCCGGCTGCAAAGTCCAAACTCTGAGAACTGCTGGAAAGCTGGTCTGGTCACCCGATCGGAGCAGATCTGCTTCCAGTCTGAGGCTTTCAGAGTAAAAGGTTCTGATTCTGCGGAGCTAACTCACTGCTTGGTCTTTTGGTTCCGTGGAATCACTGAAGGGATCCACCTTGATCCACTGGAAACTCTAAAACACGTCATTATAGAACAACATTACCTGAAGAGAACTTTAAAGGCCAGAATATAACCCACCGGATCAGACTGCAGGGATTTAAACTCTTTTCACTCAGTTTGAGGCGAACCAGCGGCCCACAGCATGATGGAGCCGCAGACATGGAGAAGGTTCCTGTGGTTCTGCCCCGTTCTCCTGCGCTCTGTGGAAGCTTTTATTTTGTTAGTCGTAGTTCTTACTTCCGGTTCATCTTCCAGTCTTTGCTTCTAATAAAGTGATAATTGATCAGAGTTCAGAGGATGAATGAGGCCCAAACAGACGCTGGTTTATGGGTCGATCTGAGGGAAACTCAGGGTCAGAACAACCTCAGCTGCTTTACACATTTTACACGTTTTATTTTTAGTCCTTATGGAGATTATTTTCTGGTTCTTAAAGCTCAGACATAATTCTAGGTTGATGAAACAAACTGGACCTGAATGTCCTTCTTTATAGTATAGAAAATCTCTTTATTGTCCCACAATCTGCAAATTTACAGCAGCAGAAAGATTATTGAAAATGGTCACACAAATGAGGACCTTAGAACAATAAAATAGTGAAGAGTTAAAAGATAAACAATAAAATCCTGTAAAGTGTTTTAACAATATAAACCTGGAGAATAAATAACCAATATGCAGCTATGGACATTTTTACAGTAATGGAAATTTGAAAATAGCAGCAACATCAGAGATGTGCAGAATGACAGCAGCAGGTTATTTAAATGACTAAGGTAGAAATCATTACATTTGATTTGATTGGTTCCCGCTGGTTGGAACCTTTATTCCACTCTGGATTAAATCAGTCTTTGTTCACTTTACAATAAAAAAGAAACAAAAATTAAAAAGAAACAGTCATGGTTGCTAACGGCGGTAAAAGCTGCTGAAGGGTAGACCTGTTTGAATTCACAGCCAAAACTCTTCTCTCCTTATTTTCAAGGACTTCTAAGGATCCATTCCAGGTAGGCCGCGTCCTTGGAGGATCCAGCCCAGGAATTCCAACTGAGCCGATATTCAATCCAGGTTTGAGTCACAGCCAAACGGGAACAGACCAGTTGAAGCTACTGGGGCATTAAAAAGCGGAGAGAGAATAAAGTTATGAGTGGAACTTGAAAAATATTCCAGCATGAGAGAATAGAAATAGAATCAAGTAGAAAGAGGAAAAGACGTCCCCATGTGATCCTTCAGCCCAAACATCTAGCAGCACCAATAGAGAAAACAGCTCAGGATAACCAAACTGTTTAGGATGAGCTATTAGAAAGTTGGAGCCACAGTTTCGCCAAGATAGAACCAATGAGACGAGGAATCATTTTCTGTGGTTTTTTCCATTCCTCTAATTCCTTATCCACTTTACAGAACTAAATTAACTCTCAGTAAATTTAATTTCAAATGCGTAGTAATACTAAAAATGGATGTTTTAAATTTACAGTGGCTTAAAAATGTTTGGTTATCTACGGAGAGGTGGGCAGGCTCCAGTGGTACCGTGGTTCTTTGTTTATTTTGTTTTAACTAATTAATCCTTAAAGGGAAATTTTGATTTCATATTTTAATGCCAGTGTGTCCACAGTTATCAAAGAGATTGTTTTGTTGGTTTGATTTAATAAAGTTATGGATTTTCATTTTAGAATGCATTAACGAAAGAACGGAAATGAAGTTGTGATACAGTTGGGAAATATATTTTAATTTTATTTATTCATTTATTTATTTGACAGGGACAGTGTACATTAAAAAAAAAATCTTGGAAACCAAGTCCAGTGAATATTTTTTTGAATTTTTATCGAATACATTAAAAAGCATTCCTGCAAAAATGCAGCAGAATTAGCCAAAAGGCTATTTTTCATCTGTTCTCCCTGGACAGATCTTAAAATTGTCTACCTAAAAAAACACAACAGTAAGCATTCTACAAAGAAAAATACAAATATAAAAAGAAATAAAAGCAGCTATAACTCCTAAAAACTGATTTAAAAAATACAGAATAAGTGTTCGCTGGACTACAGAGGTTCATAAAATAGAATAAAACATTATGACCTTTACTCCTACATTATAGTTTTAGCCTGGCGACAAGAACAATCACTGCCATGAGGCCTGAAACCAAATAACTCTTTGTTTTAATGCTGAAAAAAGAAAAAATCAGGATGGATGCTTGGAGTCAGACATTAGACCTAAAAAATCCATCTGAGAACATTTCTCCACAGGAAGATGTGATTGGCGCCTCATGTTGGTTTCCAGCAGGAAAGGCCCTTGGAGCCCGCTGTGTCCATCATGCAGGGAGAACCTGTGTGGGCTTTCCTTCCACGGCTAACAGGAAGTTAACATGATTAACTCAGATGTGCTCAAGATGACAGAAGGTGATCGGAGGCTGTGTTTACAGATGGTGGAGTTCATTTCCTGTCTAATGCTTTATGATATCAGAGGAAGTTGATATGACCGCCTGCGTTGATGTGCTTCATCAGTTGAGACAGAGATTGCTGAAGAATCCCAGCAGCAATGATTGTTTTATTTGGCACAAAAATAGAAACAGTGTCTTTTTCTAGATGAAAACCTTTCCAACTTCATCCTTCCATCCATCAAGCAGCTGGTCAACATTCATCATCCCACTCCTGATGGTCCAGATCACTTCAATTCATTCTGAGGGGAAAAGGAGGAGAGGAAGAGGAGGTGCAAAGTGGAGGAGGAGAGGAGGAGGTTGTTAAAGTTCGATGATGGAGAAGTTTTGTTAAAAATCTCTGCAGAGATCCAAATATTTAGTTTCTATCTGCAGGATTTTATGATGAACAGATTGTCGGATCAGTTTCTTCATAAGTGACTCTCAGAGCTAAAACTCCTATAATTAGACTGATCTAAGCTGAACATTAGAGGAAAATAAAGGCTGAACATGATGAGAATGATCAATTATCGGCTTTTTGTCGGGATATTGCTGAATCTGTATGGGTCTATATTTCCTAATAATAAATTAAAAGAGTTATGCAACAATCATGATCTAGATGTGAAAGAACCAAACCTAAAAATAACTTTGCTAAAATCAGAAAGGCTTGAAAGAATCTCTCCCGTCCTGCAGGACTAAATGCAGGTGGAGTTGTTTTTAACAGGCTGTGTCAGCGCAGCAGGGCGCGGCTGCTGATCATAAAGTTAAGACGTTTAAACTGAGCAATGTCTCTAGGACTGCATCACACAGCATGGAGCAAATTATCCCTCCTGATATTTATCACGTCTCAAAGACCCGATTCTGACCTTTTCAACTCCAAAAATAAATCCAGTTTGAGCAACTTCTGCAAGAGTTTCTAAATTAGATAAATGTTTCTAGAGTGGGTTGGTGCCTTTATTATTGTAAGTAAAAAACATGTTTGTTAATTTAAATTATTTTCAAAAAATTGCAACCCAGAAATAAACCCTTTAAAGATTTAATAAATTAAAATAAGTGAAAATAACTTAATTTTCATTTTTTAAAAATATTTTTTGTTTAAATTACAATTTTATTTGTTAAAGAAAATTTTTATATTTGTTAATTTATCTTTTTTTTCAGAAAGGGTTTCTACACTAATGGATTCCTTTCAGATTGAATTTTAGAGATCACATTCTCAGTTCTCACTGTTGGCCAATAAAAATGTTGCTAACATTAGATTAGATTAGATTAGATTAGATTAGATTAGATTAGATTAGATGAGCTTTATTGATCTCACAGCGGAGAAATTCATTCGTCACATATTGGCATAGTACTTAAAAAAGGTGCATTAAGAATAAGCAATATATATACAGTATATTAAGATAAATCCATGCATGCAAACAGAAATGCTTCTTTAACCTTCATCCAGAGGAAAGCCTGACCTACAAGTAAAGATATTTGATCTTTAAAAGGCATTTTGTAAAGAATGCAATTCATAAAGTCATAGTCCTTCCAAAAAAAAAAGTTATTAAACAATCTACTGGAGTTTGTTTCTGAGTTTGAAGACGTTTTGCTTCCCATCCAGGAAGCTTGGAGCATTGCAGGCTAACAAAGAACCAAACGACCCCCATTCTAAAGGGGTGGACCCGTTGGTCCGGTTCAGTTTTTATGATTTCAAAATATAAACAAGGCTTTGTTTGGCTACTAGCTAAACGCTATTTTTGACATTTTAAATTGAAAAAAACTTCTTTAAACTTGACAACAAAGTCCAGTGGATTGATTTTAACTTTTTCTTTTGGAACAATTCAAAAAGCTTAATCTGAGAAAAAAAGTTGAATATCTGAAAAAGAAAAAACAATTAAAACATTTCTTTTTAAAACAAAATATAAAATATAAGGTAAACATGAAGAGAAAATAGACCAAATAGGAAAAGCAAATTTAAACATTTATTTTTGTTGAAAAAAACGAAATCTAAGAAAACAGCAAAATTATTCAAAGAACTTTATTTTGCTTAAAAAGGGATTTTTATTTTCAGTTCTCAAAATATGTTTTTGTTTCAGATTTCCATTCACAAAACAGCAATAACGCAACAATGATGGAACAAAATTCCAATATCTGTCGAAGCATCTTAATGCTGATGTTGGATTTGATGCGACCTTTGCCTTCCTTCCACCCCCTCATCAGGGAGACCAGCATATAGCAGCGGCAGAACTTCTCTTCGGTGCCAGAGTGTTAAGCTAGTTATGGTTAGCAAGCCAGAGCCAACCTGCGTGTCTGATTTCCTGACTCCTCTGAAGATCTGACTTCTGAACCTAACCAGTTTTGTCCTCTCTGCCTCCTAGGAAGAACCTGACTGTCTCCTGGAGCTCTGGAAGAGTTTCTCATCAGAAACCTGTCTGCCTGCTCTCCGAAGCAAACCCAAAGATCAAACTGTCTGAACCTGTCTGCCAGTTCTCTAGGAGAGAACTTGGAGAACCTCAAGGTCTGAACACCAACTAGTCTGAAGTCAAGCCCTGCCGATGCCTAGCCCTCTGCCGACCCTCCGTCCCTGGACCCTCCTGGTTCCCTCCCTCAGACGCTCAGCCTGAAGCACTGAACAAGTGTACCCTGTGTGACCAGTCTGTTTCCAGTCTAATATCTTGTCTGTTTTTTCCATTAAACAGTTGAACTTTTATTCTGACTCCGTGGTGTTCTGCATTTGGGCTAGAAACTCTACCCGCCCTGATCATTAATGGCCGCCGGGCCTTCTTTGCTCCCTCATCCTGGATTCCAGATATTATGGAAGTGTCTTTAGTTCCTCATTTCATGGGAGGGTTACAGTCACATCAGATCATCCTGGGGGCCTTGCCACCATATTCTCAGACTCCGACTGTAAAATATTGACCCTTTGTTCAGTAGCGTTTGGTTAGATGGGGTTAGGACAAGGCTTAGTGTTAGTTCCGTGTTGATTCTATGGCCTGTCTCTGTAAAGTGACTTGAAATGTATTTTCTTTGGAATTGGTTCTATATAAAGAAACTGAACTTCACAGTTTGTAGTTTATGCGAACATTTCCAAAGTTCCTGCTACAGCCTCTGATTCATCCTAATGACGAGAAGGAATTCCTGAAGAGTTTGGTGTGATGATGTGTTGCTTTTCCAGCCTTATTTTGGTCCTTTCCTTTGTACGTCTGCCAGGGGAGGTGTCTCCAGGGTGGGGTCGGGGGCTTGCTTGGTCATATCCACTGAGCTGTGTGCAGTACCTTTCTCTTTTCTGCAAGGTGTGATCAGAGGTTGTTTTCCACCAGCTTCTTATTAGCGGAGCTCAGACTAGATGAAGTTGTCAGACTGTTGGCGTTTCCAGGGTGGTAAACCCGACAGAGTCACAAATTCAGCTCCTTGTTTTCTCTTTGGTTCAGCTCTTATCTCTCGTCTCTCGGATATTTTTGGGACTTGTCTCCGGGGACTGAGCCTACTTCCTTTCCCTGCAGAGATTCCTCCATATGGACCCAGCCATAGTGTTGCTAAGCTACTGTTAGAAGTCAGAACCTTCTTCTACTCACTCCCTTCTGTCATGGTTTCGGTTGTGTTTAGGTTTTATCTTTGAGTTTAAATGGTTATATTTCCATTTTGTAGTTATTTTTGATTGTATTTGAGTTCTTAGGTATTTCTTGTTTGCCTTTTTGTGTCAGTCTCCTTCTTCTAGCTCCCTTCTAGACTCCTCTGTCCACACCTGCTCCCAATCTGCTGATTAGCCTGCTCTTTGTTTCTCTCTCCCTTATATGCACCTCCTGCTCAGTCACTGTTGCTGGTTTGTCCTCATTTCTTTGCCCTCTTGTTGGGAGTGGATTTATATTTTATGGATTTTTGCTTCTGTACCTGTTTGTTCTTAAATCTGCAAGAAACCGCTTTAGCTTCTGTCGCTGCATTTAGGGTCCTCTTCAAAACTCCTCCCAACCTGAATATTTCTCTTTTTTGTCTGCTTTACTGACCCGATAATTGCCCTGACCTTATCTGGATCTCCAGTTGCTGCTGTAAAATAAAGTCTTTAAAACTGTAACTCTGTCTCTGTGGTTGCTGCCTACAGTGAGAGGATATAGTATCAGACCGACTGTTCATGGAAAAAGGGCGTCATCATATTCATGCACAAGCAAATAAATTTTACACAAACGTTATTACATAAAGATAAAGGGTGGATAAATGTGTTCATCTATGGAAAAATTGAAGATAGAAATGTGTCACTGATAAATGTGTGTGCAGCAAACACAGATGAGCCTGAATCCATTAAGTCATTGTTTAATGTAATACCAAAGCACAGTTCCGGGATATTGCTGTTGGGTGGGGAGTTTAATTATGTTCTGCTAGAAATCATGGACCTGTTCCCTGCCCCCAAATCCCCGCTATATAGAATGAATAAGATCCTCAAATCAGACTATAGGGGTGGATATTGTGGACATATGGAGAAGCTGTCCATATGTATTCCACTCTGATATAAACTATTTCTTTGTCTAAAAATCCAATCCACAAAGAACAGTAGAACATATCTAGACACTAATATGTCTAGCTCCGCTCACATACATCTGGGAACCCGCCATGGGAATTGCCTTTACTGAAGGCTGGGCCTTATCAAAACTCCTTGCATATGATTGGATAAGCCACTTGTCTGTCATCTTTATCGACGTGCTATTTCAACCACTCACACCGAAGCTAACCCGTGACGCTGTGAGAGGAGGAGCCATTTGGTAGATCAAGCTCTTGCCAAATCCGGTCGGGAGAAGGGCGAAAACGTCGTTTCCACCAACAAAAGCCTTCAAAGCCGTTCTCTGATGTTCTTTTAATGAAACAATATCAGATAGATTGGACAACACAGAAGAAATAGCAGCTTCAATGCTAACGCTTGCTTCCTCAATGCGAGCCGCCATTGTTGTTGGAATCTCACGGTCGCTTCTCCACTCCAGGACACAGGAAATCACTTTCAATGAGCGGGTTCCCAGATGTATGTGAGTGGAGCTGGGCGGAGGGAGACATGCATCTGGCTGTTGTCAGGTTAATTAACTGCCTGGGTAGGAAAAAAATCCAATATGTTGTTATGGACTAAGGTGCAGACAAAAAATTATTTCGTAAACTAACTTGGCTCAAATGTATGGATTAAAGGTAAAGAGTTTGTTATACTCCAGCAGCAGCGTGTCGCAGTGAGCTTGTCGCAGATATATTTCTGGTCTGCGCTGTTATTCTCACCGCCGCAATGACAGAGGGCCAATCAGGAACTAGCTAGGATAGTGGGCGTCCGTGTGTCGGTTTGACGAGCTGTTCGCCGTCTACAGCCCTTCATCCAACGCCGGACGACACACAGTTCCCCCCTGAGTGTTCCCCAAAGACTGACCATGACGCTGCGTGTTTTGGCTTCGGGTGCAAACCAACAGACCATCGCTCAGAGCTACAAACTAGCGTCCTGCACGGTGTCTGGGATAGAGTCCGAGGTGAGCCAGGCGCTGTGGGCGGAGCTACAGCCAGAGTTTCTGCCATTACGAACCAAACAGGAAACACGTATAGTATAGAGTGGATGGTGAATTGACCAATCAGAGGCCTCCTGTCTACAAGAGGTGCAGCAGAGTGTCTGCAGAAGGGGGCGGGGCATATCTGCGTTCACTGCGTCACACGCAGACGGCCTGGTTTATGAGCATAAACCAGCCTTAAATTAAAAGTAAATTTATGATTAATTAGCAAATACTTAAAAGAGCTACTTTAATACAGTAAGGAATAATTTATACTTAGTTACTTTACGTCTCTGCAGCAGTGAAAATTTATCTGGGTTAGATTTCCCACTTTGTAGCATAGGATGATTTTAGCATCTATGTTAAACTAAAAACTGAAGAGAAAATGCGACGATTAATTTAAAACTTACATTTAAGCAAAGAAAGTCATGAAATCGTTATTTTCAATTTAAAATAGTTTATCTACATTTCAGTCACGGTTTAGATATTTTTAATTCAACCAGTCTTCACTTCGTTTATTTAAAACATTGATAGGCAACATTTTTATAATTTGTTCTGAAAAGTAATAAAATAAATGGACACATGTTCGTTTTTGAACTTCTTTATTGAAGCATAGCTTCCTTCAGCGAGCATCACCTCAATGAGCCCCTCAGCCTTTAGTTGGCGGCGAGGATCTGATCCACCCATCCTCTCAGCTCAGTGACGCGGGCGTAGACGGCCGGGGTGCTGGTGGAGCAGCGGCTGCTCCCCCAGGACACGATACCCACCAGGGTCCAGGCTCCGTCCTTCTCACAGACCAGAGGACCACCAGAGTCGCCCTGAAGCACAGCAGAAATGATCAGCATGAAAGGATTCAATCAGGTGAGACAGGTAGGTGGGCGGGGCTTCACCATGCAGGAGGTAGCTCCAGCTCCTCCGGCGCAGATCATGACATCAGAGATTTTGTTGCCCCAGTGCGACTTGCAGTCGTCGTTGGACAGCAGAGGCAAAGCGGCTTGCTGCAGGTTGTTGGGAGTACTGGGAGCTGCAGGAGGAGAAGCAAAGGTTAGCATCACAAACAAAGGCTAACTGCTATTTAAGGCTGTTTCTAAATTATAAAAATCCCACCATTGTAGCGGGTGAGACCCCATCCAGAGGTCACGCAGGTGGAGCCAGGGGCGAAGTTATCAGAGGACTCAGCGAGGCAGACAGGGGACACGTTGGCGCCCAGGCGGGCGGGGGAGGCCAGCTTGATGAGGGCTATATCATTGTTGATGGTGTAGGAGTTCCACTTGGGGTGAGTGAACACCTGAGGGGACCGAGGCGCTTAAATCGAGGCCTGGAGCTTTGTTTGTAAATTAGCTGAAGGCTTGGGCTCACCTTGGCAGGCTTCAGCACCTGGATATCCTCACTGGAGGAGGAACCTTTGTTGTGCTCTCCAGCGACGACCCGGTGGTAGGTCCTGATAGAGAGCAGAACCAGAACAAAACATTCAATCCATCATCGAAAAACTACAAACCATCAATTAAAGCTACGCCTCATGTTTGCATTTGATCGACTACAGTAGAAGCTGAATATAAAAATAAAATAAAAACAGCAGATCTAACTGGACTGCTTTCATTCATTGATGAACATTTCTTGTTGGCGTTTAAAAAAATAACAGCCCTGGTTTTATTTCTGGGATGGTTGTTGGTTCAAACCTACCTGACGTTACAGTGGGCGGCGGTCACCACCCAGTTCTCGTTTATGAGGGACCCTCCGCAGAAGTGGAAGCCGGTGGATTGCTGCAGAGACAGAAGCAATGGTCAGGCTCTGAGGAAGAGGAGGAAGACGATTCTCTATGTCTCTGCTGACTCACCTGCAGGGACACCTGCCAGGGCCAGGAGTGAGGTACGGCCTCCTCGCCGTTCACGATGCGGGCATAGCCGGTCACTTGGGGGGGGATGGCAGGAACGCCGCAGCCTGAGTAAAGAAGATCAATTAGAACCTGAAGGATGTTTTAGTCATTCAATCACCCTTTATCTAAACATGGCCGACCTACAGGAGGCCAGATTAATAGTTTCACAGCTCAAAATTTTAGTTTTATATAAATCTGCTGCTGAGTCTGCAGGGAAACCTTTGGGGTCCTAACAGGTTGGTCTGTGCTCTCTGCTGACCTCTGCTGACCATCTTAAAACACTGCATTCAATAACATTAAGAATCCTTTTTATACATTATAAACCATTATAATCATTTTACAGGTAAAGTAAAGCTCCAGTTTTCAGTGAACTGAGTTTAAATTCAAACCAGAGTCTGACCGTAGGCGGTGCTGAGGAACGCAAAGCAGGCAATGATCCAGAGGAAGGCCATGGTGAGGAAGATGATGATGATGGCCATTCAGAGCTGAGGTTTTATGCAGATGGTCAAAACCAACCGGCCAATCAGAGCAGCCTCTGCTGTCAGCTGCTTATCAGAGCGCAGGCAGAAGCTTTGTTCTCATGGGTCACACTCCCTGACATGAAGCTCTCTGATTGGCTCCCATGCATCACAACCGCTTTACCTTCATGGTCGTTCAGAAACTGGACAGCAACATTTCTTTAATCTAGAAAATCTGACAATAAAACAATTATTAGTAAAGATTGAGATCTGAAATCTCCCTCTGAGCAGATAGAACCAGATTTAATTTAACTAATGACATGAAGGTTTTTCCATATAATAACTTCTACTTCTAAGGAACATTGATTTATTTTTTTATAATAATGGTCTAAGATTTTTTCTTTATCTCATTTAGTCTAAATTTGAGCTTCATTTCTAGTTCATTGTCAGAAAATGAGTGAAACTGCTGTAAAGAGTTTGCAGAAACTATTATGACATCAGAAATTATATTAAAAAACAATCTTGTTCCTAAAGTATATAGAAGCTCAAAATGTCCCAAAAAATAATTGAATGTAACATGAAATAAATAATAAAAATGCAACACCTGTTTATGATTTTGTTCATTTATTCATTTATTTATTTATCAATCTTTTATATAATTCAGATGTTAATTATTTAATTTTTTTATTATTTATACACAAAATTATGTAATTAAATATCCTTTAGTTCATTAAAAAAGTAATCTTAAAATGAATAATTAAATAAATTTGTTTTTATTAATCAATATCACAATAATATAATTCATTTAGTTTAATTATTTATTTTAATTAATACTTTTATAATGCATATCATATCAAAGCCAGACTCCAAACCCATCTGTTCCAGCTCGCTTATCTGTGAATATGCTGCTCTTTGTCTATCCATGATTGTTTTCATGTTCCTGTATCTGTATTTTGTATTTTCATCTCTTTTTATTTATCTTTTGTATTATTTGTAAAGTGAACTTGAGGGTCAAGAAAGGCGCTGCTAAATAAAATGTATTATTATTATTATTATTATTATTATTATTATTATTATTATTATTATTATTATTATTATTAATATTATTATTATTATTATAAATAAAACAATGTAAAGTGAAGTTTATTTTTAGGGTATATTGCCAGTCAGTTTCATTGTTACAGTATTTTGGGAGCTGAAATGTTTGGGAATTCCTACTTTAATAGAAATTATTTTATCTAACAAGGACTTTGAAGAAAAAAAAAATCCTAATCTTCTTGTGCAATCTGATCAAAATGTCTTAATTCTGCACCGATCACAACATTATGTAATCACTAATAACAGCATCATCCAGACAGATTAGTTCAAAGTTTTTTAACTAAGGAAACAAACTGATACCATCAAGTTGTAGATTTTGTAGGTTTCACTCCTTTTAAACAGAAGCTATTTGCTAGCATTATGTTCGCTATATATATATATATATATATATATATATATATATATATATATATATATATATATATATATATATATATATATATATATATCCATTTTCGGACATGCTTAATCCCAAGCGGGGTGGTGAGGGGTGCTGGTGCCTATCTCCAGCTGTCTATGGGTGAGAGGCGGGGTCCTCCCTGGACAGGTCGACAGTCCATCGCAGTATATNTCCATTTTCTATCATTTAAATGTATTATTACTTTTATAATTAAATATAAGATTCTGGCTGAAGGTTTCCTGTCTTCAGAGTCAGGGTATGAACACATTCCAGCACAACTGTTAAGGTTTGTTTAGTCTAAAGAATATTGTGGATATCACTGTTTAATCTTCAGCACCAACAGTAGAGATAAGATTACTGGGTGTGAAAGATCAGCTGGAATTCACATGTTGGTTCATGTGTGATAAACCTATAGAAGCATTCCATCTATGGATGGAGCCACTTTTAAAGGTAAAGCGATGCTAATGCTGTCCAGCAGCTTTTGGCAGCGTATAGCTCAGGGTAGCCTGGCTCAGTCTAACTATACGTTTTACTAAAATACATTTTTTAAGCCGAGTATTAAAAGTAGGCAGGGTGTCTGCCTCATTAAGGTTCTTCTGGACGGGAACCTGAATGCAGCCTGATACCTGACAAGAACTTAAAACTCTTTATTTACCGGTGAACCAGTGAATTAAATAAGATTCACAGGGATTTATTTCTCAGTCTTCACTGCAGTTTAAGCTACCGAAATGTTCTCCAAACTCGATTGCCGACCATCTTTGCAGCAGAGAAAACAGATGCATAAAAAAGCTTTTTTTTTTTATAATTTTTTTTACATAAGCCACATTTAAAACAAACTGACGAAGACACACACAACATAAATCCCTCCCCTCCTATACCGGATCTACCACCCCAGCATGAACCCATCTTGTATTATAAATCAGTCGATACGAGGCGCAGGTTTGTGTACAAACAACCAATATTTGACCTTTAAACAAAGTTATCTGCCGAAATTTTTTCTACATAAGATATAAATTGTTGTCAGACGTCAAATAATTTATTTGCAGATCCCCTGATATTATTTCTAATCTTCTCTAAATGAATGAAAGACATAACTTCTCCTAACCAGTGTCCATAAACTGGAGGATGTGGATCCTTCCAGCAAAGAAGAATGAGTCTTCCAGCCAGTAGGAGCAGAAAGCTAACACAGTCCTCTGATGTTTGCTGAAGGAAGCCTCTGCTGGAGCCACACCAAAGAGACAGATGAGTGGTGATGGATGAACAGTTCGTCCAAATATTCCTGAAAAGGTGTCAAAGAATCCTCGCTAGTATCCATGTAACTTTGGACCAGAATGTGTGTAAAAGTGCGGCTGGAGATCGTTTACAACGATCACACGTCGGATTTAAGTCCCTTATTAGTTTGCACAATCTGTCCTTAGACCAGTGCAGACGATGTGCCACCTTTAATTGAACTATAACATGTTTCAGACATATTGAGGACGAATATATATTTTGAATCATTTTTTGCCAAACTGTGTCTGATATGGATTCCTCCAAGTCCATCTCCTACTTGCCCCTCAAAGAATCTAAATTGGTGTCAGAAAATGAACTGATCAGAAATAAACTCTACTCATACAGACTTGCACATCAAAA